GCTGCTTCTATATCAGAAGAAATGGAGGAAATGGCAGACTGGAGCTGGTGCTCATGGGAAGCAGGCTTTTACTGGCTCCTGCCCTGTGTGTGTAAAAATGTAATCACTAAAAAAATCCACAAATACCTGCTAATTAAGTCTCTAGTTCATATACCAATTCAAACCCATACGATCTCAAGTACCAGTAAAGGACATACTGAGTATTCCCTTCTAGCAATATACACCTATTTTTCATGGGTCAGCTATTAACCAGATGTTTTACTCAGTTGGCTCTTACTCAGAGGCTCTGTCACTTGCAGCCTGTTTCAGAGCTGTCATCTATAGGCTGTTTTCTCTGACCTGAAACCAAAGGCCTGAGTTCTAGCTTCTGCCATCTCCTTTGATGGACTAGAGTCCTCCTTTCTCCAGATCCTGATTTATAGGCCTCAAGTCCCTTTATCTCCAGGGTCTCCTGTCTTGTCTTAATAAAGTGCCAGTAAAATAAAAGTAACAATATGAAGATTCCCTAAAAAGCCAGCATTGTCATATCTCATTCTGAAGATGACACGGAGGATTCCGCTATTTGGGGATCGGTGTGGGGAAAAGGCAACACCCAGTGCCATTGTAGATTTTTTTTTTAAAAGGAACACAGAAGCAAAATTTTTTTTTTTTTTTTTTTTTTAAAGGAACACAGAAGTAAAAAAGACAATCTCTCTTATTCGTTGGCGTGTGTGACACACAAGACTCCTAAAAGACAATCTCTCTTATTCGTTGGCGTCTGTGACACACAAGACTCCTAAGAAACACCATTAAAAAGCAAAAGGGACAAAGCAGGACAAGTCTGGCGGGTATTTGTGGAAAATGGCTGTCTGTATAGGTTCTTGTGGTCCTGATAGTGACACTTGTGTGAGGAAGTTCATGTTTTCTCCTTCATAGACATCTTGCGCAGGGCTCCCTGGCCAAGGTAGTGGGGAATTAGCAAATGTATTTCAGAAATCTGGGATAGGAGCCAGAGATCACTAGCTCATTTTGTGCCTGGCGTGGACTCAGATTGACACCATACAACAGTGTGCCTAAGAAGAGCGGCAGAAAAAGTTGAAGAAAATGCTTCATTCAGGAGTCCATTAGCTCCTTAGAAAATTTTTCTCTTGACTCTTGTGGACCTTATTAGGATTATGATTGCATGCATAGATTCTCCATTGGCCTAGATTCCATAAGTAACCCCCCACCTTTCGGACATCTCTGTTGATCAAGATCCCACAGAAAGTTATATGACTTGAATGATGGTAGATAAACCTGATTGGCGGGTAGTCAAAATCAATTTTTTTCTCCTCATCCTTTCCTTCCCTATGATCATGAGGTCCGCATGGCAGTTGTCTCCAGCTGATCTACAGGCTGCAAGTTTCTCTGAGTACTGAAGCATTGATGTCTTCTCATTTTAGCCCAGTGTGCAGCTGCTCAGCCATTGGGCCAGCCACGGTTCATTGTTTTGTTTTAAACAAAGCATTGATGTCTTCTCATTTTAGCCCTGTGTGTAGCTGCTCAGCCATTGGGCCAGCCATGGTTCATTGTTTTGTTTTAAACCGAGTTTGCATCTTCACTGTGATGAGCAGTGAAACATGAGATGAGAAAAGGTCAATCAGAGTTCTAGAGTTTTCAGACAGTTTTATGTTTATAAGGAATATTACATCAACCTTGTGTTTTAAAGTTACAAGCAAAAACTTGTCAATTGATGGTATTAGCTGCAGCTGTCGAGTTTCCTGTCCTTGGCTCCCAACTTTATTAATGCTATGTATAACCAATCCTTGTTCTTGCTTGCCAACTACTTGGCTCCCAAGGATAGACCTTGAAGATGTCAGATTTATGAATCTTGATTGCTAGTGGAACAGTGACTCATTAAAAAAGAGGATTTTAGTTCTGCCTAACTCTGCTTTGACATTTCAGTAGAGAGGAGTGGGGGAAGGTATTTTCCTAAATGCTCTTAGTTTCAACTGTTCAAATTTTGTGATCTATCTTATGAAAGAACAAAAGACAGTTTGAAAGCTTCCATTTATTGAGTGTAGTGTCATTAGCATTTCTTGCATGGCCTCATTAATCGTAACTCAACACACAATGCAGATGAAGGAAGTGTGAGTGCTAGATTGAGAGTAGCTGTATTCACACGAGCCCATAAGCATTTCCTGTTCTGTAGATGGGACAAAAACATGCCACCTGTTGAGGAAAGTGAGCGAACCCCTCTGCAAATCGGAAGTCAGGCTAGAATGCTTATCTCCTGGTTTCCTAGTTGGCTTGTGTGGTGCTACTCTTTAAACTGAGGATTTGCTTGTGAACTGAAACAGCAAAGTGAACTGAGGTGATACAGCTGTCTACTACAAGAGGGCTCTGTCCTGTTCTTCTAATAAAGCGTTTAGCTTCTTTTTATATGTTTACATTTCCTCTTGGTAAGTATATCTTGGTTTCTGTGGAAATCAAGATTTTGGAAAAAGGGTGGAGGTGAACACACAGTCTAACCTGAAGATAATTGTTAACTTTAAAAGGTTGTGTGGCTGTGCTATAAGCAAATAATTTTGTTTTTATATTAGTTTTGGCTGGTAAGTAAAATTTTCTGGGTTCCCATCAGTGCTTCCTCTAATTTTTTTTATGTTCATGTGCAAAATGAATTTTATGTGCACTAATCTGAAAATTATTTGAGACACATCAGTGCCATATTGGTGCACATAACAAAATTCGCTCTGCACATAGATGATCGGTGGAGGGACTGGGGCCGAGGGGTTCAAAGTGTGTGTGTGTGGGGGGGGGAATGAGGGCTTCGGGTTGGGATGCGGGCCCTCAATTGAGGATGGAGATGAGGTGTTTGGGCTCCGAACTGGTGCAAAGGGGGTTGGAATGTGGGAGTGGGCTGAGGACAGGAGGTTGGGGTGGGGATATGGAGTCTGGGCAGGAGTTAGGGTTCAGGGTTGGGATCTGTGGTCTAGGGGGGAGAGGATGGTGCAGTGGGCTCAGGGCTGAGATGTGAGACCTGGGAAGGAGTTTGGGACTTAGGTTATAGGTGGGGGCTCAGGGCTGGGGCATTGGGGTGTGGGGCTCTTATCTGGGACAATTCCTGTTTGGTGTGTGGTTGGGGAGGGAGGGGGGAAGACAGCTGGCTTCATGCAGCCCATGTTGCCCTGCAGGCACTGCCTATGGAAGCTGTGGGGGCAGAGCCTCGAGGTGAGGGTAGCATGAGGACAGAACTTCCTGGTGCTTGCAGTGACATGGCTTCAAGTAGGCAGGGGGAATTGGCGACACCTCAAACCACCTCCCTCTCTCCTTATACCCACTGCCAGATAGGGTTGGCAGAGAGCACAAGGTGTTGAGTGGCTGCAGCCCCTAGAGCCCCTTTCTTAATCTGGCCCTGCTGCTGTGACCAAAGGAGCGCTCCTCTCTCCCAGTTGCAGCAGCTCCATGCATGGCAGCCCTAAGTCCCGGCTTTTGGGGAGAGGTCTGGAATAATCCATTCTGACAAAAGTGCAGCTTTGCTAGTACAGTGTAGGTGTCAAGTATAGTCCTCACCTGAGCGTGATGCCCTGGCTTGACTGAAATCTTGTTTGGCTTCTTCAGTGGCATCACAAGCCTGCGTGTTTTCATATAATGGTGGGAGAAGATAGGAAGAAATGGGGCTGAGCAAGTGAAGTTTGACTGGCACTTGGTCTTTGGGAGAGGATGAAATTAGCAAGAAATCTGACTTTGAACACATTGACATTTTGTTGTTTGTCTTGTCAGATCATAGATTCTTTAGGATAGGGACTATCTGCAATTCAGCCCCCCGTTGGGGTTTTTAGGTTTTACTAAAATATAAATAATTTGGGAGGTTTGTTCTGTGGGAATGAAGAATAAGGCTTGAATTAGTAATGTACTGAAATGGGATGGATCAAATTCATTGCATAGGTTTCTTTCATTAAACTTGAACTTGCAGATCATATAAGTAAAGGACTAGAGAAGAGATTTGTATTGAGGGTGGGGATAATTACAGTCAATAGTGACATCAAAATGGGGGAAAAGAACAGGATAATTTGGAAATAGATGGGGACAGTTTAGAGAAGGCCTAATCACAAATTGGGATGAAAAGTTGTAGCTCAGAGAAAGTTGAATTTTTTACAAAATTATGGTGGAAACAAGAGAGTTTCAAAATGGCACATTTGAAGCTGTTAAGTAGGCTTTTCCTTGAACACTGAGTGTTTACATTAAGTCCTTGATTTCTTTTAGATAATGGCTTATAGAAGCACTAGTTCACTTGAAGTTATTTTAAATATAACCATTATTTATTATGTCACTTTCTGTCTGCACAATAATTCAGTGCTATGATGAGTGACAGTTTGCCATGAAAGCAAATTGCAGCAAGTTTAATTATTCAAGTGGGAGCATGTTTTTATTTTTCTGGAGTCGTCCATAGAAATTAATTGTCTGTGTATATATAGCATGGTAAAATTGGGGTAACATAGCATCCAGTATTTTACAATGATCTCTTAGTGCTTACTTTGCAGGGGCAGTGTTTCTAACTTAATTAATTTCTTAGAAAACTTTGCAAAGTGACCGTATGCCTGATCTGTGATCCTGCCCTCTCTTGTTGCAGGTGCCAAACCAGCTGCTTCTGTTGATCCATGGGGAGCACCAACTGGATCCACTACTCAGTCTCTGTCCAAAAATGTAGACCCTTGGGCTTCTTCTCAGTCATCCTCCGTGGCAACAAAAGCTACTGTAGATCCGTGGGGACCAGCACCTGGAAACAAAACTCTTTCCACTTCTGGTAAGAGACTGTGTTTACATTTGACATCCTTTCCAGTAAATAGGCTGTACTGAACTTGTGGTGTAAGCGTGCATGCCTTTTTTTTTTTTTTTTCAGGAGTGATTTTTCAACTTCTATTCATAGACTAACTTAAGATGATATGTGGGTGATGGTTAAATGGAGTGGATAAAAGAAATAGTTGCAGTTAAGGACTTAGAGCTGGATTTCAAAGTAAATAAGACCCACAATAGACTTTTAGAGCAGACATTTCAGTGCTGTTATTTTGAGTCAGAGCATTGCATTCGTGTGGCTTTTTCCTCCTCCACTCCCTTCCACAACCTCTTCAGTCTTTATATTCACCTGCTACACACAGTTATGCAATGGACCTATGACAGCAGTGCAGTCACAACTCTCTTAAATTTTCTAAAAGCTTAATTTCTAAAACCTAGAGAACTAAAACAATTTGAAAATGTCAGTTGTTTTGAAGCTTTCAGTGTGGTAACTTGCTGTGCAAAAAGATGTCTCTGTGGATGTTAACTGCTAGTTCAGTGTTTGGTCAGCATTCATTGTTCCAAGGAGGAGGTTTTCAAAAGTGCAAATGGGAGGTTGGTGCTTTCCTGCCATTTAGGCGTTAGAAAAGATTCCTCCGTAAATTTTTCTGTAACAGTGCAGAGCCGTTACAACTCCTTGCCTATGCCTTGAGGCTTTTACTGCTCTCAACAGTCATAATAGCAAGTTGGTTTGGGGTTGGTGCCATGACTGTCTGTGCTAAATGAAATGTTTGCAATCATTCCTCTGTGTACATTTTATAATAAATGAAGGATGTGTATGTGGAATGATAGGAGCATGTCTAATCTAGCTTTCTATGGACAAAGAAAGATGGAATGTTTCAAAATGGTTCTGTAAAATTAATGATACTAAAGATGTTTTATAACACTTTTTTGTGAGATAAATAACATTTGCAACAGAATCTTTACTTGCATTCTGGTTTCACATTTTATCTCTGAGCTAGTTAGACGCCTCTACAGTGTGGTGATTCAAGATGTAATGCAGCTTAATGCTGATTGTTTTTAAAAGGGGCTTTCAAATTCTACCCCCTGTAGGTTTTGGGTAATATGACTATTTACATAGGTGTTTTCCCCTCCTTTTTGTTAAAGATGTTTCCATATCTGGTTAATGTCTTCTTCACTAATTGCAGAGCAAGGGTTAGGCTCCTCAGATGTTTCCATATCTGGTTAATGTCTTCTTCACTAATTGCAGAGCAAGGGTTTCAGTGCTATTTGCTTAGCACTCTAATGCCACGATATCCAGCCAGTTCTGAAGGAGTAGCCACTATAGTGGCTACTGTTATAGCGAACTAGCCACATTGTTCTGAAAATCTAAATAATTTTGTCCTCCAACTAGCCACGCTCAACCAACCAAATAGCCAAATGTGGCTAGCGTGTTGGATACCATAGCTCTAGCACCTTATCTTCGTCAAGTACTGAGCATGTCTTTTCTGTTGCTCTCCAAATTCCTTTAATCTGTGAAGCAAGAAGCTGAATTGGGGAACCAAATTCTTACTCCATGTATGGCCACATTTACATTCCATTTTGTTTACCACTGTACTATATCCATGCTTCTAGTTCCAATACTACATAGAATTTGTGATGCCCATCACCCCAGCATCTGGATGCACACTTGATTGAACTGCTGGTTAATATATATGCTACCTTCTGTTTTGGGCAGTAAAATCACTGCTGCTCTCATTTCCTAATGGCACTATTTGATATTGCTGCTACATCCTAAAGACACTTAACCACACGTGCCTTGGAAGGCCTCCGTACTGAGAAATCAGAGGAAGATAGTACCAGAGGTAAGGGCCAGATACTGAAAATGCACTGCTACTAGTCATAAAGAATTGGGTCTTGGGTAATGACAGCAGCACCACTCCAGCTGACCTTAATGGTCATGACAGGACAGAGAGAGAAATGGATTCTCAAGTAACATGAGTAGTTTAGAAATGGCTTTTAATAGCACTGGACATAATGCAGTTGAAGAGCTATTAATGACAGGTGTCTTTTGTTCTCCTAAACAGGAAGTACGTCGTTTGACCTTTTCAGTAATTTGAATGGTACTGTTAAAGATGACTTTTCTGAGTTTGACAACCTTCGAAATTCCAGAAAGCCAGGTATGTGCCAAAGGGCAGTTTGATACAAGTTTTCTCAACCAACGGTTTTAATCTTTTTGGCTATGTCTACACAGCATCATTATTTCTGAATAACTGACGTTATTCTGAAATAACATAGTCCGCGTCTACACAGCAAGCAGTTATTTCAACACAATGTTGAAATGGGGACTTCTTACTCCTCCTCCTGTAACCCTCGTTGTATGAGGAGCAAGGGAAGTTGATAGAAAAGTGCTCTACCTTGGACTTCCTGCTGTGTAGACAGCACCAAAAGTGGAAATAAGCTATTTCGACTTAAGCTAGGCAATTAAGACACAGCTCAAGTTGCGTAGCTTATTTTGGCTTTTGCCCTGCTATGTAGGCATGCCTTTTATGACAGAGCAAGATGCACCTTTCCCAGTGAATAAGTTCAACCCGGGGAGTGCATAGAACTTGTTGCAGTTTTTATAGATAACATAGTAATAAACCAGTTACCACCATGATATAATCTAATTTCCATAGTGTTTCATCCAGTTACCCCTATAAATTTAGCCCAATAACTCATGCTTAACTAAGCCACATCTTCAGTGTGTTCTCTGGGTATGAGTCATGGCGAGTAGATGAAGGCCATGGTAGAAGGCATGGAAACAAAGCAAGTTGAGTACATGTGTATTCAACGCTAGTGGAAGAATTATTGAAAGTTCACTTTTGGGGAAGTTTGTCACTGGATGAAAAAGAAACTGCTAGACTTTAAAAATGTGAATGTATTGATACTACTTCTTTATAAGGGGTAAGATTGGTGACACATGTCAGTGTTGGTTCATGTCTCTCTCAAAAGAAATCTGTCAATTGGTGAATGGGTTACACTGAATGAAAACATCTATCAAGATGATAGTTCAAGGCCAGAGTTCTGATGCTTACAAATATCTTCTTCATAGAGGTTATTAATCCATGTCTATATTACGGATGTAAAAATTCTGGTTAATCAGCTAACCAGTTAAACATTAGGGTAACCTAACATTTAACCAATTAACCGACTATAGTGGGATTCAGGCTGCTGCCGGCTCCCAGCTCCCATGCTGGGGCTGACGCTGGAGGTGGCAGTCCCTGTCTGAGGTGAACCTGGGCTCCTCAGGGACAGAGGCTGCTCCATGGGAGTAGCCCCTACCAGCGGGGCACACGGGCCAATTATGGACAGGAGCTACTCCGGACGATGGGTCCCCTTGCCCACGGCAGGCAGAGCTGCTCCGGCCCCGACCAGTTACCAGCTATCTGGTTAACCTTTCACATCCCTAGTCTGTCACAGCAGACTAGAAAGATACCAAAGTCAGTTGTGTAGAGCTTTGTTTATATTACCCTGCAATTGTAGGTCTAGTGTTCTACACTTCTGTGGGATACTTAGGATTTAATAAAATGCTAAGTGTAAAACATGGCAATTTAAACAAATTCTAGCATAAAATCAGATTTAAGAATATATTTTCAGTAGTAAAATGAAATCACTTGCTTCTTTCACATACTTTTTTGCATGGTACTACATAGTGAACCCACAAATAACAGGTTTTAGTAAACTGTAGCATTTAACTTTGTGAAATCTAACAGATTGTTCTTGACTTTTTGTAACAGCTGAGTCAGATTCCACTTTGCCATCCCAGCATAGTGGTACAACAAGTCCTGATCTCTTTGATTCTCAGCCCATGAACATGACATCGGGCAAACAAAATGCAGCTCGGAAAACCCCCGAGTCTTTCTTGGGGCCCAATGCAGCTTTGGTGAATCTGGATTCGTTGGTGACTAAGCCACCAAAGCCTGTTCCATCGTTGAATCCGTTCTTAGCTCCTGGTATGTCTCACTACATCCCTTTCCGTTATAAAACTTTGTTTATAGCTTGTCTTCCAAATTTGTTCTTGTGGAAGAAACCCCACTCATCTCTGGTGACCGTAGCTCAATCTAAGTCTTGCACAACAAGCAAGCCAGGAAGTACTAAACTACTTCGGACAGCAGGACTTTCACTGTTGTAATTAGAAGGGAAAGACAGCATGGTCTTTGGGAAGGGTAATGAACTGAATGAGGACTTGGGCTCAATTCCTGGCTCTTCTGTGTCACTTGCCCAAGATAACACAGGACTTGGGCTCAATTCCTGGCTCTTCTGTGTTATCTTGGGCAAGTGACACATACTCATTATTTATTATTTGTATTACTGTCGCACAAATGAGCCCTATTCATGACCTAGGACCGCCTTGCACTTGATGTTTCACAAAACCAGAACAAAAAGACAGTCCCTGTTCCCAGGAGCTTACAATCCCAATACAATACAAGAGATTACAGATAGGGGAATAGAAAGATATGAGTGCATATTGTTTAAATAGACAAGACTAGGCCTAAGGTAGAGGAAGTGGTAGAACACACAGAGTGAACAGTGTGAAGGTAGCAAGCAGCATGGTAGTTGCATGGTTTTTTTCCCCCGTTTCCCCTTGTTTGTTATTCCCGAGGGAATTCTGTGCCAAACAAATTTAAAATTGTGCAAACACTATTTTAAAATTGTGCAAATTTTCTCAGTCAATACATGTGGCTCCAGCATGTCAGTGGGAAGCACTGGCCGCATTGAGGTGGGAGGTCACGCTCAAGCCCCCACTGCCGCTGTACAGAGACTCACCAGTGAGGTGGCACCTGAACTGACACGGTGCAAGGGCTGGGCCTGCCCCTCTGTGCAAGGCAGAGCACGTTTTGTCGGGAAGGCTCAGCCCAGCAAGATCCAAGTGAGGGCTTAGTGTGGGGAGATCCAGGTGTGGGGCGTGAGGTTTCTCTGTGGGGGTGGCTCAGTGGGTGATCTGGATGCACAGGGGCTCATTGTGGGATTCTGGGTGCGGGGCAATGGGACTTTACAGGAGATCCAAGTGATGGTGGTTGGCATCAGGTGGGCTATGGGTCTCGTCTTACCTGTGTGGCTCCTGGTTAGTGGCTTGTGCCTGCCTCTTCTGGGGCACTGCAGGATGTTCTGGAAGCAGCCAACAGATCTGGGCCCGGCTCCTGAGGGGAAGAGGGAAGAGGCTCCATAGTGCACTGTGTATGCTCTCCTCGCCTGCAAGCACAATTCTCCCCCCGCCTTCTCCCCCCAGTTCCCATTGGCCTGTTCCTAGCCAATAGGCACGTGGAGCAGGTGGGAGCAGGTGTTCATGGTAGAAGTAGTGCACGGTGCCCAGCGGTCTTCTGTTTACAACTTTCCTACCAGCCCCTAGCATGGAGCTGCCCCACCTGCGACAGCTCTGTGCCGAGGGGGCGCCTCCATTTTGGCTGCAGCAGCTCTGTGCTGGGAACAGGGCAGGGGAACCTTTCCCCTGGCAGCTTTGTGGGTTAGGGAGAGGCATCTCTTCCCTGCTGCAGCCCTGAGACCCTGCACGGGGCTTAATAGTGCATGGGGGTTAGAGGAAACGTAGGAGGTGAAACCCGGAAAAAACCTGTGTTCACTCCAGTTTACATTTCAGTAGGATGAGACTGTGCCATAAATAGGCTAGCCATGAAATAACCTCATCCGATCAAAAAGAAACTATTGGTATACTTGGAAACTAATCTGCTATGATAGCTCTCCTTCAGAAATGCCTGTGTTAAAGTAGCATTTATGACTTGGTTCATCCCTGGTAAATAAATAGACAAACACATTTGAATCTTTTATATGCACTGAAAGTTCTATAGCATGGTAACCTGGTGAAGATTATTTAATGTGATAGTAATTTGTCTTAAATATTTTTAAATGTGTTTATGGAGTTCTTTAAAATACTGGAGTAAACAAAACCATGAACAATGATACTGCAACTTAGCATTATTCAGCAACAGGAAGTCTACATATCTATCATTAGCAGTCACTACACACAGTTTACAAGTATCTAAACATATATGGTATAAAGAATGTATAGTGTTGGCAGTGGTCCAGAGGCATCAAGTGCTGGGAAAGTTCTTTTCTGAATTACAGTGAAACTGGAAAAAGCAATAGTTCGTTTACAGCATGAATTCCTGACAAATCTTGGAGTCAAATATGTGAGCAGCTTCTAAACAAAGTGAAATGGCTTATATCTTGAAGTGGGAGGGTGGAAGGAACACAATAGACAAAGTGCTATAAAGGAATAAAAATTACCTGCAATTATCTGTTGCAGTGTATCACCAGAATATCATGGTCGGGCACACTCCTAACAGATGAATTCAGAATCTGTTTGCCAACGTGTCTGACTGAAAGTTGAAAACTGCCCATCAGTGTTGTGGTGGTTTGTCAGCATTCATAAAGATAGATAGGGGGACAGGTTATACATATCTCTTCACTGAAGTAAATGGAATTTGTGCTACTGAGATACACATGTGACTCAGTATATGTCAGTGATACAGCTTTAAGCTACCTGAAGGGGGATTCAAAAAGAATGGAGCTAGGCTGATCTCGTCTGCCACCATTGAGACAACAAGGAGCAATGGTCTTAAACTGCAGCGGGAGATAACAAGGAGCAATGGTCTTAAGCTGCAGCAGGAGAGGTGTAGGTTGGATATTGCAGGGGGTGGGGAGGGTGTTTCATTAGGAGGGTGTTGAACATGCCTGCTGGCAACGGGAGAGAGAGGGGGCAATTGTCCCAGAGCCCAGTGACTCTAAAGGACCCGGTGCTCTTACCAACGTTACCGGAGAGAGAGGGGGCAATTGTCCCAGAGCCCAGTGACTCTAAAGGACCCGGTGCTCTGACCAACGCTACCACCTCTGTAGTGGTGGCCCGGAGCCCCAGACCTTTTAAATTGCCACTGGAGCACTGTGCGGCGGCGCAGTCTGAGCAGCTCCGAGGGCAGGGGGTGGGTACCGTGTGGCATGGTCCTGGCAGCTCTGAGGTTTGGCTGCCCCAGCCCTGCCCCTTCCATCTGAGTCATCACCTCTTCTGGAAGTGTGAAGCTCCCCACACCTTGTCCAGGAGCCCAGTAAGTTGGTCCGCTCCCTGGCGGTGAAGCACTGGAATGGGTTATCATAGGGAGGTGGTGGAATCTCCAGTCTTAGAGTTTTTAAGGCCAGACTTGACACAGCTCTGTCTGGGATGATTTACTGGGCTCGGTCCTGCTGTGAGCAGGGAGTTGGATTAGAAACCAGTGTTTCTCAACCTTTTTTAAATAAAGTACCTCCTTTAAAAACAAAAATTATAAGTACCCCCAGGACCTACAGTCGTCAGACACAACATTTTTTTCTGCCATTGCAACACATTTGTTTAAACAACTTAATCGTAGCCCCGAGGGCGATGAAATTTTTGGGCATAAAAAGTACAAAAATAATAAAGCACTGTAAAACTTAAAACACAAATTCAGTTTTCTCCAAATTTCCATAGTATTGACGTACTCCCCAGACTTCCCTCGAGTACCCCTGAGGGTACCTGTACCACTGGTTGAGAAACACTGGACTAGAGGATCTCCTGAGGTCTCTTCCATCCCCAGTCTTCTGGGATTCTGAGTTTTTCTGTAGGAGGTCTCCTGAGGTCTCTTCCAACCCCAGTCTTCTGGGTTTCTGAGTTTTTCTGTAGGAGTGTGTGGTATTCATTTGGAGGGGTGTGTAGGGGGAAGTATCGTGTAACCTTATGTGTAAATATACATGGCATGCCTGCAAAGCTCTGACCTTTTTGGAACTGCATTCTTTTTTTTTTTTCAAACTAGGAGCAGCTACAGCACCCACTCCAATCAACCCCTTTCAAGTGAACCAGCCTCAGCCCCTCACACTAAATCAGATGAGAGCAAGTCCTGTGATGGGCACGAGTCCTTCTTTTAGTGCTGTGCCAGCTATGGGCATGGAGCCAGTACCTCTGTCTTCCATGGCACCAGTGGCTGTGGGAATGGCGCCGTTACCAGCTATGGGCCCCATGGCATCTATCACGTGTATGGGCCAGGGGATGAACATGAGCATTGCAGGATCAGTGACCCAGCCTCTTCATAGTACAGGAATCCCTCCATCAGGGGCCCAGCCCACAAATACAACTAATCCTTTCCTCCTATAAAGACCCATTCAAAGGAACTTTCTTTTCATAATATTTCCAAGCTGAAGTCTTTGGGGAAAAATGAACAGGATCTGCTTGGACTGAATGATGTGTAAGCGACTTGGAAGTAATTTGCAGTTTACAGTTACGAACTTTGAAGAGTTATGTCTACTTACCAGTTAATCTAAATCTAGTCTTTGCTACAGATGGTACCTTACTTTGGCTTGTTGAGCATTACATGAAATGTTCAGACTTTTTGCCAAAGTTAGATTATGCCCATTTTGTTACTTTGTTAACCATTTCAATACACTTTCTAGGGAGAACCTACCATTTTAAACTCCATTTGCTATTTTGTAGATGTCAGATGATGTGCTGGATCCTAAAATTACTGTTACCTACATCTATCATTTCTCATGTTCGTATGATAGACACGAGACCCTGAGTGCTAGTGAATGTTTTTGCACATAACTATATACAATTCTAGACTGTTGGTTCACCCATAGTCCTTATTCTTAGAAGAGAGCTCAGAAGGCTGGTTTTACGCATTAAACATTGCAACATAAAATCTCACCGCTTTCTTATCGGTGGTTTGACTGAGAAAGCAAGCTTGTCTCGAAAGGAAAAAAAAGCTGAAGAAAATTCTCAAGTTGTCAAGTATAATGTGTGCTGTTGTATGCAGTGTTGAATTCGTACACTACTATCTAAGGACTATTAAGGAACTTCCTGTGAGTGGCATGCTGCACTCGTGCTAAATGAGTGTTCTGCTATGTGCTTGTCCATTAGTGACTTCATTTGGAAGTTATTGTGCGTATTTTATTTTTATTTGACTTACAATGTGAGATGAAAGAAAAACAAAATACAGTAGGACAACTTCGAATTCAGTTTCATCGGGGCAAGCTTTAAAACTAATTCAGGCTTAACATTGCTATATGCAGTTACTCTTGTATACTTTTGCACATATTTTGTTTTTAGTACAGTTCCATATTTGAGTTTGCAGAATAACCTAATAGTCATTTTTTGCTAATTTTTATAATGTGGTTCTTATTTAACTGTCTAGTTTTGATAGACTTTTATCAGGTCAGGCTGAAAAATTAAGATATTGGCAAATGTCATTTTTATGGTTTAATGCCCTCCTTTTATTTATGGTTTTAGCTCTTTGTTTCTGTAAAAAGAATTTAAAAGGGAAGATTAACACTAAAATATTGTATTATTAATTAAGAATTCATAATGAAATTTAAAACAAATCCTCATGACTAACTACTTTTTAGAGGAAATGAATTTGAACTTAATATTAGTTAAGACTACATTTAGAAAACACTAAGGATGCCTTCCCTTTAATTCACTCCTCTTTTTCTGATGATGACCAAAATGGACGGACTTCTGTCCTCTAAGAAGATCACAAGGCTGTTTGTCTTTGTCCATAGTGACTTCTTGAAATTAAAAAAAAAAAAGTAAATCTATGAACACGTGATTTTGTCCATAGTGACTTCTTGAAATTAAAAAAAAAGTAAATCTATGAACACGACTCATTAACCTGATCAGCTAATTTTTTTAACTAAAAGTGCACTCCATGTTCATTACCAGTTCCATTTACAGCTGTTCAAATGTATAGTTCAGTTTAACTCCCATGTCTTGGATTCATCAGCACTAAACTGTACACAGGTTTGTCGGTGTTACTGGTGTAAACCTGGCCTTCTCTGCGATAGCAACATTTTTAAAGCTCTACTTTCACAGGGAATGCAAACATACACAACGCACATATACAGGAGCTTGTAGCTTCTTTGATTGGGGCATCACTGCATATGAATTGATGCATTTTGGTGTCCTTTCCCTGGTTTACAAAAATGCTGAAACAAGTTAATGGTGGAACTCCGTGTTCTGGTGGATTGTATCAGCCAACATGAGTGTGCCACAAAATGTTTGGTGTGAAAGGAACTGGATTTATATGCTTTTGCAGAGGACAGAGAGGCTGAAAAACTATTGAAAATGGGATAGTCAGACATTTTAGATGTGTAGGTTGGAATAGATGTTGTCAGTGTGTGGAAAGCTACCTGCATGGGTGTTTCTATGCAGACTGTTCTACCCTCTCATTGGGTTTACAAAGAGGAGTCGAATATTAGCCTTCTCATATTTAATATAGGAGGGGAAAATACTGTGCATACCCAGAAAGTCTTGAAAAAGAAATCATTTGTGTTGCCTTTCAAAATGAGAAAAAGAGACTTTTTTGACATTATTGATCGCTATAAAAGCCAGAATTGGCACGGTTCTTGCTAGCGGTAGGAACTTTTACGGGTTGTGATATAAGCAAACAAAAAAAACCATTTTTTTTTCAACTGGGGTCTGTGGCAAAATTCACTCTGTTTTGTTCTCCATGATGGAGTTACTTTCTTTAATATTGTCCCCGGCTTCAATTGGTCAGTTGCTTGTGTAAAGCTTAGATGAGGGCATTATCCATTCAGTCAACAGGTTCTGATTGCAACTTCTGAAAGCCATTCGATAGCATCAGGATGGAGCTGGTCATACTTGCAATTCTTTTGAAACCACCTGCAACTCAGAGCAATGAGCTAGCCTTACGGGGTGATAAAAATGTCCTGTTGGCCTGGTAGGGGGCTTTCCTGCACTGGTTGAATGAAACTGCTGAATGACAAATTGTAGCTGTTACCAAATCGCTTTTGTAAGAGCTATGCTACTTTATACATACATTGCACAGCAAACCATGACAAGACACACTGTGTCTGAGCAGTGATAAGTATGTCTCATGGTGCTACAGAGCACTGGGCCAAGGAAGTTAACAGCCTTAAGATCCCTGGCCTGAAGTGTGTTGGGATATGAAATGAAATAAAATCACAGGGATGGTTTGGTCTATTCTATGCATAGCTGTGTCTGCAAAGATCCCATGCATACCTGTGGCACTACATAAACCACAATGAAAGACTGTTTCTGCCCTAGCCGATCAAAGCATCGGTTTTGTCAAAACGTTAAATCCATTTAATCATCATATTCTGATTAGGAGTTAAACTGGTTTTTTTTTCTTTTGATGGAGCACATCATGTGTATCTGATCTCATTCACATTCTCATTTCTCCAGGCACCCCTGTCCTCCCCCTAGATAAGACGGTGCTTTGGATTTAAAAAGTTTGTATCCCAAAATAGCCTTACTGGTCAAATTGACCAAAGACAAATAGTGTTAATTATTTTGTAAAGGTATCTTGGTATAATTTTAAGCCCAAAAATAAGCTCAGTTATTTATTCAGTTTTATACTGTGTAGAAACTAAAATGTCTTGAGGGGACCGGGAAGGGAGACCACAGTGGGTTTGCTGTGTACAGTCTCTTTGAAGTCCCTTAGCTAAGATAGTGTCTGTTACCCCTCTTCCCATTTACTGTTGCCGTTTCTAATGTGTACTGTATGTATTAATATTGCACAGATTGTGGAGAAATCTATGGTTTATTTTTCACAGCAGAATCTCACAAAACTTGCGTCCTTTACAAGTGTTACAATTGAAATATTTACCAAACTGTTTTCATAATACTTGGGAGCAGGCTGCTTTTTATGAATTTGTGCTGACTATTGACATTATTTACTGTATAAATATAATTTATCATTTGTACTATTGTATCATAATGTTCTGTATCTTCGTGTCATTATTTTCCCTAGCGATGTCACAAAAATGTGATATTTAATAACGCCATCAGAACAGTGGAAAGATGAGGGATTTGTAGGTGGCTGGTGAGAATTAAAATTGTATTGCTTATATTCTGGAGTTGCATTCCTTTTCTAATCTCCAGGGTAGCATTTGTATCCTATTTCAAAGGGATACGTTTTTTTAAAAAGATGTCATTTTAGAGAGTGGTCCCGTACTCATGGAAGTCAATGAGTTGGATCCTGCTTTGAAAAGCAGATTAAGCTTGGCACCTGGATTTTTACTGTGTAACAGTGGTTTAGAGCGGTAATAGTTCTCATTTGCGAGTCTGGGTTCCCTTGTACGTCTTGGTCTCTTGCAGAAGCAGAAACAGCAAGCCCTAGGAAAAGAGTATTTATTTTAAAGAGATCATCCTCATTTAATTCAAATTCCGTGAAGTCTTTGGTAATCCCATAAAACAGAAATATTGGTAGCCTGGCCCTGTCTACACGGCTCAAGTGATGTTCCAAATTGTACCATGTTTTAAATAACATTTTTCAAAGGGATATTTAACTCTGTCCAAGAAGCCCTAAATAGTTCTTCATATACCAAGGGTGAAATGTTAAGTCTAAGGAAGTCCTGGGTTAGGTCCAACAGTTTCCACAGAATCAGGGCCAGGACATCTTTCAGTGACACAAGTTACCCACTCTCTGACCTGCAATAGGAAAAACTGCCCTTTTTTCCTTGTGAACCTGTGCTGCCCATGGTCAGTCCTTTGTATTTATCCTCTCTTTAGTGTTGGCATTGCCACGTTGATGACCTTTACTCAAGTGGCCTAGCAGACCCCTTAGCACGGAGCCTACCTCTGTTTGGCTGGTGATTGCAGTTTCTAATTCTGGCTGTTCTAAATTGAAGTGTACTTCATTACCAGGTCATTTCAAGAGCTCTTTGGCAGAAAACCCTCCACGTTTCCTGTCATCGCTGTTTGCTGCTAATCAGGCCAATCGGCAATCAGATAATGTTAAAATTACTGTGGTGTCAGGAATTCGCTTGTTAGGAAGGGGCGCGGGGGGAAGGGAACGGGAGAAATGTCAGTTTTCTATGTAACAATTTCTCACATTTGTAGAGGGTGGGGCCGTTAAAAGCCACTGTCACCTGTGCCTGTGGATGTGATTGCCACAAATCCGTCACTACAGTGACACTCCAATTCCCCTGTGCCATCTCTGCTCACCTCTGATTCATCTGACTTCAGTCTGTGCATGTGAAATGAACTGATGAGCAAACCATCTGCTACCAAAGATGACAGCTTAGATATCTTTCACTTCTGGTGCTGGGCTGTTGGTTCTCACCATGGACACATGCCATTTTATCTTCTGTTCCTGTGTGACTTTCTTCTATGGCCATAATAATTCCTCTGCCATTTTCCCCCTTCTCCTGGTGAATGCTGTTAGCTGCTTTGCTTGGATCATCCCATCCCCTGATATTTCCCTGTCATGCGCTCTACTATGGGAATACATTTGAGATGCACATCAGCTAGGACTTGCCTACTTAAAATGGTTAAATCTTTCCTTCAGCGGGCTCGGTGTCACAGTTATCAAGGAAGGACTTGAATGGGCAAGTTGGTAATGACTTGTAACATTTTTTTTTAAAAAAAAAAGCTGCTGAGCATAACAATCCTTTGTAAGCCAAAGTAGCTACTGGGGTGGGAGGAGCACAATTGAATGGGTCAGGCAATGGAATAGGGGTCAGGTTTGTTCTGTACCCAACTGAGACTGATCTGCTCTTAGACAAGTGGGCAAGGGCCTTGTCAGTGCTCTGTTTCCATTTCCCCTTGGAAGTGTGATCACTCTCACTGTGGCAGCCCCACAGAGGCCCAGTGATACTTGCTGCTTTGGCAAAGTGTTCTTACCCTCGGCACTTTTCTTCCGAAGACGTAGGTCTGTACAGCAACTAGACATCTACAGCTGGCCCGTGCCAGCCGACTCCCTTCCGGGTTCAGGTGGAACCTGGGCTCTGGAATGGAAGACTCCCAGAGCTTGGCCTGAGCCCGGTGCCTACACAAAAGCCCCAGAGCCCTGGGTGTCTAAGTTGGCTAGCACAGACCAGTCCTGGGTTTTAATCTGCTGTGGGGACACCCTCTGAGTTATCAGAAAGCTCTTCCTCGGTAATACTTCTCTGGCTTAAAATAGCTCCCTCTCTCTGTTAAATTAGCACAATTGTTCTGTTTAATTTTACATTCAGATTTGATTCATTCCTTCCTTCGGTGTCCTGCCTCATGTCCGTGTCCATTAAGAGAACCGAAAATCCCTTCCATCGGCAGGAGCTAATCATTTGGCAAGACATTCACAGCTGGTTGCAATGTACATTGAGAACATTGAACCAACTTGAATTCACATGCATCGCTGAGATTCAAAGCTTTTTATTCTCCAATAGGCTGCCGGTATCCTTCCAGGTAAACATCACTGGCACAGCTTTGAATTTGGGCATTGCGGATCTAATACAGAAAGTTTATTTTAGAGCAAAGGATTATAAATAGCTAACCACCAGAGTTAGCATGGTTGTAATGATCCCAGCTCGTAATGTGTGACTATCAATCGATTGTGAACTGTAATTGCTGGGGACGTGGCATTTAAATGAATTTAAATATCCTGACCCCATGCCCTTTGGTGCTTTAAAAATCCCTGGCAATTACTCCGGATCAATAGGGGTTTGGTGATCTACCAGTGACATGCAGCTGAGTTTTCTGCAAAGGTCAAGTGGACAGGAGAATTGGAAATGTGAGTATTGAACTATAAGTATCTGATAACAAGCATGTAAGAGCTGTGCAAATCTCCAATT